TCCATAAATGACGTCACGATAGAAGCATGTTTTATCGTGAAATAAACCACGCTTCGTTCCTCATTGTTCTTTGCGATTTATTGCGTACCTATCGTCTGATATCAAACGACACTCGGCTATTGTTCTATATTTCATCCAAAATTTTTCTCCGTACTGAACAGTAATAATTTGTGTCTTGAGTGTAAGAAGTACAGCTAACTAACTAGCTATAGCTTCAGTGGCAGAGAGGTGAGTGATGACATTTGATTGTGACGTCATTGTGACGTCATCAGTGACTATGACGTCACAATCAAATGTCATAGTTACTGATGACGTCACAATGACGCCACAATGCCCTCCAAAGCAGTGATGCAATTTCTCCTTTGGGAGGCATTTTGTGATTCAAGAACCGCATACCCATAATGATCGTTATAAGTAAAAATATTTTAGAACAGACAAGGAAAAACAAAATCAGTGTAGTCAAACATGGCCAAGGGTGACAGTACTCGGGAACATCGTCCATGAAAGCTTCAGAGGTTCAGTTCAATTTGTCAAAAATGAAAGCAAATACCATCTGAAGTTAACTGAGAAAACAATATGTGAAATGCTTGACTTCCTTACAGATAACATTTATGTAATATCTGGGAGCAAGACATTTAGGCAAGAAGTAGCCATTCCCTTTGGCAATAAGCCTTCTTACTGATCTATTTCTTTATGAATGTGAATCAGAATTTCTGTTTGGATTGGCAAAGTCGAAAGAAGGTACTTTGGCCAAGAAGTTTGAAAACAAACTCTGAAATTGATGTCCAACGTTTCTAAAAACATGAATACAGATTCTGCATCCACTCGACATGAAGAAGCGTACCATTTGCAATCAGTATAATCGGGAGGAAATAGTCCCCGAAAATTCTTTTAAAAAAATATTAATGCTCAAGACTGTTGAACAAAATCGCCTGTCAAAAAAGACATTGCTGCAAGGTGTTTTTCATTAATAAAAATTCAGACTCATAGTTTTAAATAATAAAATATCTGGTTTTGTAGCTGAAGCTGAAAAAGTCTTATCTCGATACAAAATCCAACCACCACCCCACCCCGAACCCTACCACCCAGAATATCAAATGGTCCCTCAGTCGCTCTCATGGCAAGCAATACATCGCTGGACCCTTTCCGCGAAACAACCCCAGCGCTTCGACAAACGTAGTGTAAGCTTAGTTAAAGTATGGGACTTACGATCACCTTAGCGCCAAGATTTCGTGGCTGTAGCTTAATAAATATCTAATCTCGATTGAAAATACCAGCCTCGGTCTTCTGTTTGGGTTTAATAATTAATTTGAGAGTTAAAGAAGGGTACATACACAAGTCAATTAAATTCATCGAACTTAGACAAAACGTGCTTCGTAAACATTCTTATATCGCTATCTTATTGTACTCAAAGATAAGGGTTGTGACAGGCGATGTAAAAAATAACCATTGACGTATGGACGGAATCCCCTTTTTCCCGAAAGTTCATGAAAAAAAACACAATCAAAAATTAAAATAAATATTCATTTAGTTAGATTTTATCTTCATTTTTCCGACCGCTTTATTGAGAATTGATTAAAACAACAGATAAATCTAAAACTTTTACAATCATTTACATGTATTCCTAAACCTTTTACGTAATAATTGATTAAATGCATCATTTGTTATCTTTGGCTTCTGCAAACACTAAACGGAGCCTTTTCCAACACGAGTATTCTATTCATGTCACTGTAAATATCATAAGCATCCTGCACTGGCAGAATAAACATATGTTTCCTAGTAAAATCAGCAATCAACTTGTAAAGCGATTTAATATTCAATTTCGACCTAACGAAACACATTAGTTAGCAAAACATCCACAAACGATAAACTATTTTTTAAAAGTATAAAAATTGTTTCCAAATGTCAGATAAATGTATATACTTAAAAACGTTGCTATTAAAGTAGTTATTCTCTGTCAGAATTCCACATCGTAATTAATATATATAACTCACTTTATAATGGAGGACCAGGACAGCTCCTTGTCTTATACCCACAGAAGCGTGGATAATCGAATTGCATTGCCAGACCCCCAAATTCTTCATAAATGCAATAATGGTTCCTGGTAATGCATCGTCCTACGAAAGATCCTCTTGGTTTTGTTTTAACGTTATTCTCATTCATCAGTCTGAAGCCTTCCTTATGCAATTTATTCCTATTCTTTCGTGGCAAATCTGTTTCATCCTGATGGACTTACGAGTAGTAGATGCATTTTATATTGCTTCGAACTGTATTAGTTTGACCAATCTGTTGAGTTTTGAGTACCTGCCAAAGAGGCCCTTTCTTGTGTTACCTGAGGGCACAGCCCTCAAAGGCGTCGCGGGGGCGGTGGGGTAGCCTAGTGGTTAAAGCGTTCGTTCGTCACGCTGAAGACCCGGGATCGATTCTCCAAATGGACACAATGTGTGAGGCTCATTTCTGGTGTCCCCGGGGTGATATTGCTGGAATATTGCAAAAAGCTGCGTAAAACCACTCACTCACTCAGGCACACCCACCAGCAACCTTTGATCGTGGGTTCGAATCCCGTTTAAGCACCATACCCGTGCTCGTGGGTTTCACCCAAGTGGTAAACGTCTGAGACCTGCATCACTTCGGGCTTTCCCCTAACATCATGCTGGTTCGCCGTGATATAACTGGAATACTGTCTGCAATAACACAACTCCCTTACTCACTCACTCACTCATATTATCTATTGGGTGTAACAAATTGATCGATTTATCTATGCATGGCAATTATCTATGACACGATGGCTATATACTGATGACCAGGCAATATCATCAATCGTTTGAACAGACATGCGAGTGTCCATTTACCAATACTTTCATAAATACATACCAGATAAAAAGGCCGTTGATATTTTTAGCCTGCTTGTCATTTATGTCACGCTTAAATGTAACAAAAATCTCCCGCCACTTTTTGATCCCGCTCTAGAACATCCTCGATTATCCACTGTGGTATGTTTTCACTCTGTAAGGATAAATACCACAGCTTCGTTTCGGGGTCACTTTTCCATGTCAATCTCTCTTAACACAATCTTAGCACAGAACATCTCTGACAGTGAGACATTTGATTGGCTCTCTTTATGAACCGCTCTTCATATCGTCGTGTAATTTAAATCGGGTTCAAAACGAAGCTATTGTGGCGAATGGGTCCAGGGAATCTGAATGTCGGGTCCCTGGAATCTGACTGTCCTGTCCATGGAATCTCATTGTCCTTTCCAGGGAATCTGACTGTCGGGTCCAGGGAATCTGACTGTCGGGTCCAGGGAATCGGACTGTCGGGTCCAGGGAATCGGACTGTCAGGTCCAGGGAATCGGACTGTCAGGTCCAGGGAATCTGATTGTCCTGTCCAGGGAATCGGACTGTCAGGTCCAGGGAATCTGATTGTCAGGTCCAAGGAATGTGTCTCATTCAGCGTTTGCATTAGTTATACATGTTCAAATGTATCCCATCGGCTTGAAGGACTACCTTTTACTCAAAAAAACATATTCTCTTATGTTTTTCTATACAACTGTTGCGAAGTAAAATGTTTAACTCTTTGACTGTTGAATTTTATTCCGCTAGGTCGAAGTTTTGACGTTATTTCGAAATTTTAGTAAGTATGACGTTATAACACAAGAACGCTAAAACATGCGGTAGGGTCCCAGTTGTCTCGTCGTTTCAAAATTTAAGTAAGTGTGACGTAAGAACATGGGAAAGCTGAAACATGCGGTAAGGTCCCAGTTGTGACGTCACTTTCCTTCCCACTGGAGGTGTTTGGTAATTGAAGCAAATCTTGATCCATTATTTTTACAGTCTGTACGAATGAAAGGCATCTCAATCGACTTGTTGGTTTCAAGCAAAGTGATTTCATAAAGATTTCACACATGTGTATATGGGGAGATGGTACCATTTCATTCAAAAATTGATTTGCGATACTTTCTTGAAACATGATGCGCGCCCTCTGGTGTTTAGAATGGTCCCAAAATCAAGTGGATTTTTAATTTAAACGTTTAAAATGATTTGGAGATATTCGTTAATAGATCGTGCCGTTTGACATCAAATATATAGACATGTGTAAAGGCATCATGTGCACCATGCCAATAGACAATCTGCTGCGAGTCTCCACATATCGCCAACATAGTCAATTATCGGTTCTAATAGGTTAATTTCTAATAGGTCAATTTCGCAGATGGTACTATTATGGTTTTACTCCGCCTTTAGCAATATTCAAACAGAAATGGGCTTTACTCATTGTACCCATGCGGGGAATCGAACCCAGGTCTTCGGCATGATGAGCGAGCGCTTTAACCACTAATTACCATATAAGAAGGATAAGTAGTAGCAGTAGTAGTAGTAGTAGTAGTAGTAGTAGTTTATACAGCTTTAAACGATTCAGCAAAGAGGGTCTAGGTTATCCTGGCACAGGTCATCATAAGCTCAGCCCCCCCGACCCCCCCCCCCCCCCCCCATATTTGTTTTTCTGGAATCTTGTCAATCAGATAAGTGTCAAAAGGGACAGAGACTTCAACAATATAAATGATTTCATTGGATTTATCAAAAAGGACAAGATCAGGTTTGTTGGCCTTGATACGTCTGTGGCTGTAAACGAGCCTATTCCAAAGGATTTTGTATTTATAATTCTCCATGACGCCCTCTACATATTCCGGGTCGTACCATGGGTGGACCTCTGTGTCAAAACCACAAGCATGGCGAAGACGGCAATAAGATGATTGAGCTACACCATGATGTCGTTTAAGATACTGTGTCTGTGCCAAAGCTGGGCATCCATTGACAATGTGTTGGGCAGTCTCATTAAATTCATTGCATAATCTACATTTCATATTTACATTTTGATGCAAAATCATACATAGACGGTTTCGAGTGGGAAGGGACTGGTCCTGCGCATTATTATTATTATTATTATTATTATTATTATTATTATTATTATCAGTCCCTCAGCGGTTTACTGTTTGTTTCAGAGCCAGTCCACCCCAACAAACAAGCACCTCCAGATACACAGATACAGGACAGCCAAACCTCTGACGTCTATCAGTAACTGTTAGAATTACCTCCCTCACACCACGGTCAACTAAGGTCATCACGACAATTCTTAGATCACGAGCTGTTTCGCCAAGGCGGAAGTGTGTACTGAAGTGTCAAAGACAGACGTTTGCAAGATCTCCGTCTGTGATATATTCATGGGATGTGTAATTCGTCGATGGAATATGGCAAAGGAGCAATAGATGCAGTTTCATGGAACTGAAGATTCTTCACTGCATACATCGGCAATCACCGGCGACAGCACTTTGATTTGAAGGACAATTGCATGATATAACCCTGAAAGAAAGAGGGGGCACGGGGTGTCCCAGTCGTGTGGGTGCCGCGATTTGCTGTGCAGAGTTGCGTCCCTTTGACCTTATATTGTGGGTTCGAATCCCGGATCGCTCCGATTATGGTTCTAGGTTTGTCAGCACCATACCCGTGCTCGTAGGTTTTACCAAAGTGGTAAACGTCTGAGACCTGCATCACTTCGGGCTTTCCTCCCACATTAAGCTGACACGCAGTGATATAACTGGAATACTGTTAACAGCGGCGTTAAACCCAACTCACTCACTCACTGAAAGAAACAGCTCTCGTTCCATGCTTGGTAAAATCATTGAAGAAGAACTCATTCCAAACTGCCCATGTGATGCCAAATACTTTGGAATTGCCTTTTCTGGAATTCGGAAACATTTGGAGAGACTTGAAGACACTTTACACTTTTTTTATGGATAACAACTTCTTTATTCTTTGTAAACGACATTTGAGAGATACTACTTGCTCCTTCATCAGGTGAATACTGATGAAGTGAGTAGAAGTAGCCCAGTAACATTGTTTACAAAGAATAAAGAAGTTGTCCATAAAAAAGTGACATGTATTCATGCTCTTCCAACTTCTAAACGACTATCAGTGACTTCATTTGGAGTGACGTCATGTTTCCTTGGAAATAACGTTATTCAAGCTTCGCATAGTCTGAAAAGTTTTGGAGTGAAAGCTTTTTTATCAAGTTGACATTTACATGTACGTTTCCATATTTTGTCATTTTTATAAACTCGAAGTGCTTTAGGTAAATGAAAAATAATTTAACATACTCTAATAAAAGCGACAAAACCCTTTAACTATTCGGGATGCATATCATAGATGGTATGATAAAACATATCTTTCCGACTGCCATTGTTCTCGTGACGTTGCACGTATATACTTGTGACAGAAGTACACACAGTACCGACTTAGCGAAGCCACTGACGTGTTCAAAAACGTAAAGAGTCCATAAAACGAATCGGATGCAGATGTTCCTCGTGGACCCTGTTTAGTGAAATGTTCCCTCACTAAAATACTAAAACTACACTACACGAGTACAGTGTACCTTCCGTCCCTGCTGGAGCCAGGGCCAGTTTTATTCTGCAAAGCACCAAAGTGGCTCTTTGGAGCCTTAAAGATTTCAAAGATCGTCAAACAGCTCTTGTGAAATATAAAGATTCAGAGTGACAAAACACTCTCCACAAGGCTGTAATACAAGGGGGATGACTTCAAATTTCCAATAGTCAACTTTCCCTTCATGAAGAGCATTATTCCAGCACCTCCAGCCTTTGGTCTTTACATTTCACAACCTTTGAGGTACAATCGAGCATGCTCTTTCTACCAAGACTTAAAGAGCGTCATACGACTCTTGCTCTAAAGGTGTTGTATCAGGGTTACAACCTTCAAAGCCATTGTGAAACTTTAGAAATGTTTTATGGTGGACATGTGGAGGACATTTTCAATTTTCACGCATCAGTCACAAAAATGATTTCTGATTTCCTTATTTTGTCTTGGACCATATAATCCCGTGTTTTTGTAGGCGAACAGATGACTTTGTATGTGTTTGTGACAGATGCAGCAGATAGGGCAATTAATTGACTTACCTTTGCATGTGTTTGTGAAGGTTGCCATCGGTGGGGCAGGATATGCTCACCCTTTGGGGACACAAGGTATTATCACTATTTGATAGTGATTCATGAACTCATGCTTATGATCTGGTCAGAATCGAACACTGGACTTTTTCCGTATGGTTATGGAAGGGGTTGTGTCGCTTTTATTGTCAAGCGTCCCCTGGTTGTGGAATGGACTCGCCCACTCGTGCATACAGCATACAGCGCCAATCACGCTATAGAGTGTATTGTTGTATTCTGATTTTGGGTAGAGTACGTCTAGGTAAACAGAAAGGTAGGTGTTGGTAAATCACACGACAACGACCTTGTGTTTAATGAGTTTCACTTTGCAATGTTATGGAGTTACAACTGCATTTGAATGTCCATATCCCCGAGCGTCAATCTCTATTCAATATTTATATTCGTAAACTAAAGCCGTGCCTAAAACCTATAGTTTAAATCTATGTTTGTTAGAGATAGGCCTGGGTTCGATTCCCTATTGATTATGTCCCCGGCTTAGAACCGTACTCACTCACTGTTATAGAGAACGGGTTGACACTAAATGTTGGTCTAGATCTTTCCATAGGGTTTAACTTGAATAATGTAACCTTAATCTGGGCCAACCGTTAATATGTACATTACATGTTTGCAAATACATTAAATGTACTTTTGTTTAATTTACAACACTAAATATTATCCTAATGTTTTGGTAACGTCAATATGTTTCCTTAGTACGTATCCACGTCTTCTTAAGATCATGAGCCAACAGACACGTATCCTGTTTAGTCGACATGACATCGTCACTTTTCACACTTAGCAGAACACAAGAGATATGTACGCAGCACGAACGCACACAACCCGCTCAAATAACTCTGTAAAAAAATGTTGTCTGCTTGACAAGGTGCACGAGATAATAAACGTATCCCTATCTATAAATGCTGTATGACGCTAGAAACGTTTGTGAGTCCACGAGAAATACCGAGTGTCAATCGAGGATTAATTATATGCACCTTCGATGATTAAATATGTGTGTTGTTCTAAGGATACATATGTATGTCCTCTAAAGATGAAATGTGTGTGACGTTCAGGGAAATACGCATGTGTGTCTTTCGAAAATAGGCGTGTTTTTCTAGAAATACATTTGTGAACCTTCGTGCAAAACGGGGAGAACGGGTGGCCCAGTCGTCTAAGGCGCCGATTTGCTGTGCAGAGTTGCGTCCCTTGGCGACGCCAGAAACCTATGATTGTGGGTTGGAATCCCGGTTCGCCCCGATTATGTTTCTAGGTTTGTCAGCACCCTACCCGTGCTCGTGGGTTTCACCGAAGTGGTAAACGTCTGAGACCTGCATCACTTCAGGCTTTCCTCCCACATTAAGCTGACACGCCGCGATATAACTGGAATACTGTTAAAAGCGGCGTTAAACCTAACTCACTCACTCACTCGTGCAACACACGTGTGTTTCGAGAATGCATATACGTGTCCTTTAATGAATACATACACCTATGTATTCTTTCAAGCAGTACATATGTGTGTCTTAGAGTAACACATGGGAGTTCTTCAAGGAATATATACATAATCGAGGAATACATTGTTCAGGTGCATCAGCCTTATATATAAATTGGTAACTATTTGAGTGACCTTTACGATGTTGGTTAACCCTGGTGTGAAACAAACGTAGCATCTTGTTGAATTTCATATCGTGAGTAAATGTCGTGTGTGGTAACAATGTTATTACCTAGTTGTCCTTCCACTCACACAAACCTCAGTGATATCCTTCACAGTAAGGGGGCACAGGTGGCCCAGTCGTCTAAGGCGCCGCGATTCGCTGTGCAGAGTTGCGTCCCTTGGGCACACCAGAAACCTATGATTGTGGTTCGAATCCAGGTTCCCCCAATTATGTTTCTAGGTTTGTCAGCACCATACCCGTGCTCGTAGGTTTCACCGAAGTGGTAAACGTCTGAGACCTGCATCACTTCGGGCTTTCCTCCCACATTAAGCTGACACGCCGCGATATAACTGGAATACTGTTAAAAGCGGCGTTAAACCCAACTCACTCACTCACCTTCACAGTAGAAAGATGTAAGAATATCATGTCGAACATAAATATCCCAGGTAAGATATGCAGTCCGGAAATATCTATGCCGGATGGAATGAATAATCGATTATGACGAAACAAATTCTGAAATAGTACTAATAGTTCATATTTATATGAATAACCAGTTTCGGATGAAACGAATTTCGATGGCTCCGGGCCTTTTCAAGGTAAGATTGTTCTGGCAAACCAACACGATTTCTAAATAGACCTAGATTACATTTAAAATTTCTCAAAATATTGACTTTAAATCCTGTGTCGGATAACGGTTCATAAATGAATTAATTAGATGACCGTGACATTAGTATTACGTATGATAATTGAGGTCATACTTCGCCTGATGCACATACGAGGGTTGATTTTGTGGATATACCCCTAGGACATGTGTACAACACAGGATTTTACTGTTACGGAATTCCCTGTGAGGCTTAGAGTGAGTGAGTGAGTGAGTTAAAATTTAACGTCCCATTGACATTATTTCAGCCATATAGCGACGAGACCAAGTTAATATATTTACAATTTAGTTATTAATGCATTTTTTTAATTTAAAAACAAGTTGTGAAACATATTTGAGAATAATATATTTAACACAATTTATGAAACATATTTGAGCATAACAATATTATGTATACATTTTAAAACACGGGCTATAGTCCACCAGTAACCAAAGCTAGGCCACCTCGCTGGGGATCATTGGGACTTACAGTACCACTGCTTCCTGCATGATACCCCAGCAGGATTTACGTCATCACTTTAGCTACTGGTGGTTGCGCACAATACTAGCCAATATTAAAAGATACACAGCAATGAGTTGGCTTAAAAACACTGGTTGATGATAGTCACATCGATTATGATAGGATTACGTGTCACACAGGGGGGCAATAATTTTACGATACTTTAACCGCCTGGACAGAGCCTTCAATAAACTCAGTAATTAAGAGCATCACACCAAATTTAAAAACAAGCATTTATTTATTCACATACATATTTAAAATTTATTATACAGACCAATTTCTTTCAAATAGCTGATAATAAGATGCCCGTTGACACGGGAAAAGAGATCTTTCACATCAACCCTCGTAACCATCAAAGGAACGCTACTTCATAATCCATCAGATCTGTGCATGTGAATAATATGCCCTTTATTACGATCGGTGTTTAAAAACAGAAATTAAATAATTAAAAAATGCTTTATTTTACAAAAGAGACAAAACCTATTACATAACAATTAGATTTCGCTGCAAGTGATTTCTTAAAAGTCATTAGAACGGAATGTATAAGCTGCTCTAATGATGTGTAACTTATTAAATGATACGCAAAGAGCATTCTCCCCCTTTCATATCCATCTACAGCTTGAGTGTGTTTTTGTAGTTTATCTCTTATCCCACTCAGAAAAAAATGAAATTTGATAGAGATATGAAAAAAACAAAATCTAAAATTGAGTTGCATTTTTGAGACGAATTAATATTTTATAAAACTAATGTTGAAAGCTGTGCGGCTATAGCTACATATCGGTATGTCTGCTTTGTTTGTAAACGTACCTTGTTCTGTTGATATACATAGTCACTGATGGCCCATTGGTCTTCTTTGTTATACATGTGTTGTTATCATGGCGAAATCACAGGAGACTGAAAGTGATGATGATTATGATATTGTTGCAGATTAGATGTTTTGTTTGTTTCTTTGTTTGTTGTTTAACGCCGCAGCAGACTAGATGTGTCTGTATATATTGTACATACTGGTTTCACGAATATGTATATTTGGTATTGATCTGTAAGCGATATTGTTGCTGTGGTGTAGTGGTATTACTTCAATAAAGCTTACCTCTTGTTACGGGTTATCTCCCTTCTGTCAAGGATGCCTGTAGTCTATTTTGTGTTTTGTGTGCATTTGCACCGTCATGTGTCTAGTGGATAGAGCGCCGGCTGATATTGGAAGGTCAGTGGTTCCATCCCGCCGCATATCATAAGATGTTTGAAGATGGTATTTGGTGTTATCTTGCCTGACGGTACGCATAAGGCTGATAAGTAAAAAACAAGGTCTGGTCGACTGCAGCATGATATCTAAGTGCGGTTAGTGCATTAGTCACGAGCAGGATCACACACGCACGCACGCACGCACGCACACACACACACACACACACACACACACACACACACACACTAACTGATCGCTCAGGTTGGATTCCCCAAATGGGTAAACTGTGTGAAATACATACTGTACCTGGTGTCCTCAATCCGCCCACTTAACTACGTATACCTACCTACCCAACGATTCACTCACTCACCGTCCCGTAAAGAAGGATTCGTCATTTCGGAGTCGTCCAGACGTTCAGATTAACGTTCAGATTATGGTAACCAATGACGTCACAATGGTCTACAAAGCGTTGTGATGCAATTTCATTGCAGCGATATCTACAATGTGATCTCACCCAAGCGATATCTTCTGTGGGAGCCAGTTTTGGATGAGAATTATGTTGAGCCTATTTTCACAGTATTACTTACGTGACTGGAACAGGTGAACACTTTATTCAGACCATAACACCCTCTTATCGGAGCATGGCTATTGCTTCTAATCTCCAGGAACTACTCAGACTACTCAGGAACGTGCCACGCCCCCAGTGCCAGACAACACGGGTATAGAACCACAAAAAGTGGTAAAACTCTTATGTTCAAATAGGCTCATTATTCTTAAAGGTTGCTACCGTGGGTCTTACATGTGTCAGAGAGCATATGGATAGACTGTGGACATTCTCACAGCCATACATGTACATAGAGCCCTCAATGCCCATAGGATTATGCTGAGTCATCACATTGAAAGTGTTCCTTTTCGGTACAGTAAGCATTGAGTCTTGTGAACAGAAAATGCCAATGCTTGAGACCAGCCACTCTCGATCCTCAAAACCCCATTGGGCACAATAAGCAAAATAACGATGAAAATCGCATGAATGGTCACCGAAAACATGTGATGACGACAGGTGCTAGTAAAAAGGGGAAGCCTCTCAGTACCAGTCCAAGTCTTATGCATTAACTGAGACAGCTAACATCTAGTTGGAGTCTCCACACATGAATGAGGTGGGTTCAGTAATGTCATGGCGGGTCAGGTGAATGTGGGAGGAAAGTGAAGCATTTCCAAGGCATTTACAATTTGTATGATACCCATGAATTACGGGTAGGGTGCTGACAAAGCAAGCATCATAATTAGTGTGAATTCAATACCATTTACAGGACGCTAGACAGTGGGGCCGGCCGTGCCCGATACATACACACAAGGTGGTCAAGTTGGTGATCATGATTTATTGCTTTCTCTATCAGGTGACGACGACGTGTTTACACAGATGTACATCAGTCACGGGTGAAACGATATGAAAATAAAGACCTGTGATTAAACTTTAACGTTTTTATACTTAATAGAGAATACAGGTGTTCTATGAATTTAAACAATAGTGATTCCTTGACATAATACAGCATCCATGACTGTCCTTGTGTTTGGGCCTTACAGCATGGCACATGTCATCCTCTATAACTCCACTTCACATGTGCCCTATTCGAATTCACTTAAGTCCAGCTAATCCAGTTGGGTAAAGGACAAATGAAGAAGTAATAGGGACACAAATTAGTCATTTGCAGTTGTTGGGGATAATGTAACTACGACAGAATTGTATTTAACAGACACACGCAGAACGATGGAGAATCCTTTGAGGCGTTTAAGGATCAATTCCATTTTTGGTTTGAACATTCAATCACTGTGTCAAATGCAATTCATCTGCCAATAAAGATAGACTGGTGCTGTACCCCGGAGACTATACTGCACAACAGTCCACATTACAGAGCGTAGTGTTATCTCACAACGGCGTGTTGACATTTGTGATGCAGCTGAAACCTGCTACAGCTCAGCCAAGGACTGTCCTTAACAAATGAATGGCTGAAGACACCCAGGGGGAGTAAGCGCAGACGTATGAGGGCACCAAGGTCACATGGAATAACATTCTACGGTTACAACATACAAAGATCAGTTACAGAACATGAGAGAAGAAATACTCTGCTTTGGGAAAGAAGTCCACAAGAAGTCAGACAAACAGTGA